TCAGAGAGAGAGAGAGAGAGAGAGAGAGAGGGAGGATAGCTTACAGAAATCGAGGTGAAGATTTTCTCTCTTAACTCACGAGAGATGATGATAACTCACGGACTTTGTACGAGCTGATCGACACGGGGCATCCTTTCGAACGATCGTTCCGTGGACGTGAACGAATGACGTGGCTGATTGCAAAGATAATTAGCAGGAGAGGAGGAGGAGATCACGACGAGCTCTCGGGGGATCGTAGCAGGACAGCTTCCTTCTTCTTCCAACTTGGTTCTTTCCGAATCGATCTCTCTCTCTCTCTCTCTCTCTGCCTCGATGCACTTGTTGCATCCTCCCGATAGGAATGTTTCACATGATCGTTTCACGGCTACGAATCGACTCGTTTCGAGGAAAGGGGTGGAGGAAAACTCGATATGCGTTCTCGTTCGAGCTCTTGTTCCGGCCGCGGATGCTTCCAGTTAAAGACTAAATGCGTAGCCGCGTTCTGGCACCGACGTGTCGACCACACTCACGGTCCACGGACTCTATTTTAGCGCCTTAAGCCGCTGTCACGCGACCACGAATTCGATTCTTTGATTTCGATCGCTTCTTATCGACGCGTGTTCGTCAACATTTGCCTCGCAGTTGTTCGCGAACGGAATAATAGCAGGACTTTTTCTCTTTATTTAGGGGATTTATTCGATGAAAAATTATAAATTGATCGTTTCACATATAAATATTTCGATCACGTTTTTTTATTCATTCGATGAAAAGTAGAGGGTGATTTTGATGATAAATTATATTATCGTGGTGTATGTAGTTAAATTTGGAGCGCTTTCGATTTCGTTTGATAGATTTGCAGGACGGTTATCGAGGTTCGTCCAACGAGAATCGCGTGAAACTACGGTTGATCGTGCATCGCAGGTAATTCGATGATTGTCACCAATGTCGCTATTTGATTGCGTAACAGGGCGTCCTTTGTGCGCAGTCTGTGCTTACTATTTGCGTGTTAACGAGCTTCACGGAATATTTCCATTTTTTGCAAATTTCGATTGTGCGAAGGATTACGAATCGAGAAATATTTTGAGAAATATATTTAGTTATTAGAAAATAACAATTACGCGTTCTCAAGGAAAGTTATTTAAAAATTTACAAATATTTATAAATATCCGAACTATCGAATTGAAATTTGAAAAGAGCAATTGAAACGACGAGCTACGACGTTGAACAAAATGATAGTGTATTTAATATATTTAATATATTTTGTATTTATTAAAGAAACGAAAAGAAAATGTATTGTTCAATCTTTATATTTTATATATCTCTTTTAAAGTAAAGTATGAGGAAAAATTTATTGATCCAGGTGACTAAAAAGACAAAGAAATTGAGAAGAATCGTAAATGCACGAAGAAATAACTCGGCGAGTCAAATAATAATTCTCTGAAAGATGAAAAAATATGATTAATCGAAATTCTCTTTACGTGCTCTTACGTTCTATTAAATTTTAAGTAGTAAAAGGAAGAAATTTGAATACGAAATTGATTTTTAATCAAATAAATTAGATACGCGTATATTTTCTTTCCTTCGTTTAAACAGTTTTCTAGTCAACAGTTCGATTAGAAAGCAGAGAACGTCTTTTATTTAAATAATTCAATTTTTATAGAAGCCGTAATATTTTTTTAAAAAAGTTCGAAAAATTTATACTTTTAACAATAAATCCAGCAGATATAAAACTTTTAATTATACCAAACCATATTCTATTATTTACTTTAAATTATCTTTGGAAAATTATAGGAATCGTAATAACTTTATATATAATCTACTTTCAGATAGATATATCGAGCATGGCTACAAAATTTCTTTTGCCAATAAATTTTTAAATTACATAATCAGTGATTAAAAATAAAACATCGATAATGATGAATACACGTGACCGATAAAAATATGAAAAGGAAACGTTGAATATTTCGTTAATCGTATTAAAAAAAAAAAAAAGACACTCTTGCTTCTTAGCATTTTCTCAGCCTCGGCCACTTATTTGCGAGCCACGCGCGACTCGTGAACGACTCGTTTCTCAATCGTACGTATATTTAAAGACACACAATCGTGTAATCAAATCTCCGCGTAACGAATCCCTGATTGAATCGATGTATTTCCATCGTCGATATCACGTTTCATCGTGCGATCAATACGCGCAGCTGATATATATATATATATAATGATAGTTATTTGGATTTTGAACAATTTAGATGGAACGAAATGAAAAATTTTATTTGGCCATGTTTCTTATTTGAAATGAAAGAAGTTATTGAAATGTATAATTATTCGTTCAAATAGGAAAAATTATAATTTTAACTGTTTGCGAGCAAGAGTTATCCAATTTACATTTTCTTAATGTTCCAAACTTTGGTATTTTTTGAAAAAAATTTTAGGATATTCGTGTAATAATAATTTTAATTTTTCTTATTAAAAAATTATTTTAAGAAATTCATAAGACTGATGATTATGAGAGTCGAAAAGAGTATTTGCTTCACGTGTTCGCTATCTTCCCGTATTATCGTTCCAAATCAATTTTCTCAATATTATCTCATTCCTACGATTTCTATTATCTATTTATTGTTCTTATATTATTTCTATATGTCGTTCCTCCTCTCGTTCGTTCTTATATCGTTATTTAAAAACGTACTCGATCATCGATCAAGTACAATATGGAATGGAACAAGAAACATTTAAATGTCCAGACTCATGCATACCGAATGAATATGTAAAAGCCAGTTTAAAAAATTGGACTTGGGAGTAATGTTTCGTTAAAATCACTTCCAATCCATAAATTGGAAGGAAGAAATTGATAATTATACAAAAATTCATGCGTATCGATATAACGACACGTGACTCACCAGTGCCGAATAAGAAACGAACGAATTCGTAATTTCGTGACTATTTATCCCAATTATTTATCCCATATTCGATTTTTATCGAATAATTTTCGAATAATAAAGAAAGATAATAACAGAGCAAGATGAATTTGGATCCATCCGTATGGTATCGATCCAGCTTATCAAACCAGATCCCAGACTTTACGCGGGGCAATCCCCTAAATTCACTTCGAACGTCGTCCCGTTGATGGATAAAAAAAAAGAAATCTTGAAAAATCTTGCACGTTCGTCGATCGACAGGGAAGGAATAAACGCTGTTCGCGCCAATTGTTCCCGATCTCTCTTTCGTGTTTATTAATGCTTGACTTGTAAACACGAGAAGCGCACGCGTACGCTTGGTTCGCGGAAACGCAGAGGCGAGCACACCGTGTACAATGACGCCGTTTATTCGTACGAGGTCAAGATCATTGTCGTTCGTTCGCGCTTAGCCTGGATTCCGTCACGTTTCGCCTTCGTGGCTTCTCCTCCTCCTCCTCCTCCTCCTCCTCGTCTAACGTGAAACTGCGTCATCTCGCGTCTGTTTTTCCTTCCTTGGGGGAAAAAAGAAGAAGAAAGAAAAGTTGGTGGTTCTCAACCGTCCCGAATTTCGGCCCCATTTCCGATTTGTAACGGGTTTTCCCTGCGGAACGTTTGGACTGGGGTGCAAAAACCTGTCCGGGACGAACGAGTTTATTACGATGAGAGCGGTTCTCAACTTCGTGCGATTGGAAATAGGGGAGATCGTGATGAAACAGTGTAGGCAAGGATGGAATTGTTTTTTTTTTTTTTTGATTCAATCGAATTAAATGTTTTAAGAATTTTTAAGGAAAATGTTATTCGAATTATTCAGGAAATTTTATCTTTGATTGGAAAATATTGGGTATGTATTTTTTTTTTTGTGAAAAATTTTTAACTGTTTGCAAAATAATGATCTGTGATGTATAAAGTAGTAATAATAACGAAATATAATTCGAAGTATATTTAATATATATATATATACTTAATGATAGAAGTTAAGAAATAAACTGAACGTTTGCGAATTTATTTATATTTCTCATCCTCACGGATGAGGTAAGATTAGAGTTAAAAATAACACGGAGGGGGATCACGTATCAATAAGCGATAAATTTTCTTTGAATATGTTCGCGTTGAAATATAAGGAAATTAAAAAGAAGAAAATGCATTTATTCAACATCTAACACATCTTCTATAATAAAATATTCATTGTACATTGCTATTACATAATTCGTATTATGCATTATTATATAAAGGAATAATCTAATTAAATCATAAGTGAGATTCAAACTTGGTAAAATCTTGTTTTATAAGAATATTAATTAACTTATTAATGCGATAGATACGAATAATACGTTTTTTATCACCTCTATAAATCAATATTAATTTTCCCAAAAGCATCTGCGTGTTTCCCTAATTTCAAGAATAACAAATTCGAAATCCGTCATTTTGATGGATTTAT